GTCACTTTTGATCAATTTAATGCGTCCTTGATGAATAAAAGTATTAATTTCTTAAAAAAAAAAAAAAAAAGACAAAAAAAACATACTGACCCAAAACTTATGCGACTTCTTTAAAAAAATAAATTAAAAAAACGTTAGAAATTATTATTAAATATATATGTAATATGTATATATTCATTCATTCTGTGTATGTTTTTTTTCTTAGAAAAGTTATTGTTGTTATTTTTATTATTTAGATTTTTATGTTATTTTTTTATGTTTGTATTCATATATATTGATGTTTCTTCTCAGGCAAGTTGATTCACTCTATGGTCGCTCATCTGGATGCTGTCACCAGTCTTGCAGTGGATCCCAATGGTCTCTATCTGATGTCTGGTAGTAAGTACTCGAGAACATCAGCTTTACTCTACAGTCTGATGCTGAACAAAGTCATGCAAACACTTGTAAATGTTTTTGAACGAATTGAGTGAGCCAATGATTCAGTTACTGATTCATAAAGACAGTCATTTGCTTCATTTATGAGTCTGTGATTCAGCGACTCATTCATAAATACTGTCACTTGCTTTGTTTCTGAACAAATCTACGTTTTTGAATAAATTGGGTGAGTCAATGATTTAGTGACTCATTCATCAAGACGGTCACTTGCTTCTGTTCTGAATAAATCAGCCATTTGAACGAATCGAGTGAGTCAATGATTCAGTTACTGATTCATAAAGACAGTCACTTGCTTCATTTTTGAATGAATCCACATATTTTAACAAATCGAGTGAGTTGGTGATTCAGTGACTCATTCATAAATGCAGTCACTTGCTTCGTTTCTGAATAAATCCACGTTTTTGAACAAATTGGGTGAGTCAGTGATTCAATGACTCATTCGTAAAGACGGTAACTGGCTTATGAATCAGCTGTTTGAACAAACTGGGTGAGTCAGTGATTCAATGACTCATTCTTAAAGACTAACTGGCTTATGAATCAGCTGTTTGAACAAATTGAGTGAGTCAATGATTCAGTGACTCATTCATCAAGACGGTCACTTGCTTCAGTTCTGAATAAATCAACCATTTGAACGAATCGAGTGAGTCAATGATTCAGTTACTGATTCATAAAAAAAGTCACTTAATTTTTTGAATGAATCCACATATTTGAACAAATCGAGTGAGTCTGTGATTCACCGACTCATTCATAAATGCAGTCACTTGCTTCGTTTCTGAATGAATCCACGTTTTTGAACAAATTGGGTGAGTCAGTGATTCAATGACTCATTCGTAAAGACAGTCACTGGCTTATGAATCAGTTGTTTGAATGAATTGAGTGAGTCAATGATTCAGTTACCGATTCATAAAGACAGTCACTTGCTTCATTTTTGAATGAATCCACATATTTGAACAAATCGAGTGAGTCGGTGATTCAATGGCTCGTTCATAAAGACAGTCACTTTCTTAATTTCTGAATGAATCCACATATTTGAACAAATTGGGTGAGTTAGTGATTCAGTGACTCATTCATCAAGATGGTCACTTGCTTAATTTCTGAATAAATCAGCCATTTGAACGATTCGAGTGAGTCAATGATTCAATGACTCATTCATAAATGCAGTCACTTGCTTCATTTCTGAATGAATCAGCCGTTTGAACAAATCAGTTGAATGAATCACTCATTAACACAGTGACTTCAGCCACCTACTGGTGGTTCATATTTCAATATTCATTTAAAAAACATTAATACCCATTTATTATAGTTATTTCTGAAATGTTTTCTTTGTAAAGCTACTTTTTTGTAATGTCTGTTCAATAAGCTGATGTTGCGGTGTGTCTCAGGTCACGACTGCTCGGTGCGTCTGTGGAACATGGAGAGCAAGACGTGCATCCAGGAGTTCACGGCTCACAGGAAGAAGTTCGACGAGTCCATCAACGATGTGGCGTTCCACCCCACCAAGTGCTACATAGGCAGCGCGGGAGCCGACGCCCTCGCCAAAGTCTTCGTATGACCTTCGACCTCCGACCAAAAACTGCTTCCACAAACTCGTGCGCGGTCAAACTCGAACGGGACGGGAGGGCTGAGACCGAGATGATCCGGGCAGGCCTGGGTGCTCGAGGGAAAGTCAACAAACACGGAGGAACGCCAGAGGAAGCTCCAAACATCTCCGTTCAGCCTCACAGGAAGTTGGGTGCTTCCCACACTTCTGTAGTTTTAGTTCTCCTTGAGTTCCTCTTCTCCTCCGCCTCTCTGGATTTCCCGTCTTGCGTTCGCTCCTTTTTAACGACGTGCCTTTTGCTTCAAAACGCGGATCCTCTTTGAGGGAAAACGAACCCCGTCGATGTTTTAAACTCACCAAATGCATCAAATTATTCGGACGGAAAGTAAAGTTCGGTTAAGTTTCTCACGCAGGGTCAAAATCCTGATCGGATGCAGATGAAATGCATTGAATTCAAAGACTCAAATTTAATGCTTCTCTTGTCTGACGGACGATCCTGTCAACAATTAAATCAAGTTGTACATAATATTACATAACTCAGAAAACGTACTAAATTTCTACATGTTTGTGTCCAAATATAAATCCTCTAAACACTCCAAAGCCGTTCACCATCAGGACGCACGTCTCGATTCAGTGCTACGTTTAATATCTAAGCTGTTATTTTACGCATAAACCTGCAGTTTCTCCTGAGGGTTTGCAGTCGAACTCGCCTGTTCTGTGAAAACATCTCAACATTGTGATGTTGAGACAAAATCTCGATCATTTGACTAGATTTAGAGCCGTTTCTGAATATTCGTTGAACTTAGTCAAAGTGATAATGCGCAAAAGTCTTATAATAGTTTGAATGTGTTGCAGTTTTTGACAAGCTGTACTCGGAAGTCTATATTTGTCTGAAATCTGTTGTAATGTTTATTTATTTTTTGCCTTTTTTTTTTTTTACTTGTTTTGCCTGTAATGCCAAATGCAGTAGGATTTAGCTTCAGGAAGGGACGAGCAGCTACGTTACGTACATAAACACCTTCATCTGGTTCCTCTGACGTCATCCTCACTTTCTCTACCTGCACAGGTGGTGGTGGTTTGTGTATTAGATTTGAAATCTATTTTATATGTAATAGTTTGAAGCGGATACTAGTGTTTTTTATCATTGTGTGACGGGTGACCGAGGTTGCAAACAGACCGTAACCCGAGTTTCCTGCAGGTCGAGGTTTTTTATTTGAAACTCTTCTGGTTTATTTGAATTTGTCTGTGATTACTTGAACTATCTGGAAGCGCGTGTGTGTTTTTAACTGCTAGGATAGAGATTTTCTGCTTTTATGGGGAATCGTTCGCCTTTAACTGATGACATGAGCAGTAGAAGACGAGCGGAGTGTTTGTGCGTTTCCTTCAGGTCTGTGAAAAGTGACGCGAGTTTGCTTCTCTACCAAATGATGATAAAGGACTAGTTTAGACAAACATGAAATCTGGCACTATTTACTCAACCTCATGTCACGTAAACCTATGGAAGCTTGTTTCTGACGCAGGATAAAGAAATAAAGTAATTGCGAGTTTTTTTCTGCCACAATTTAAAAAAAAAAGTTATTACGACTTTTTATCTCACAATTCAGACTTTTTCTCAGAATTTTGAGTTTACATCGCAGTTTTTTTTAATTGTGAATTTTTGTCTCACAATTTGGACTTTTTTTCCTCACAATTCTGAGTTTATCTCTCACAATTTGGACATTCAGAATTGTGAGATCTAAAATCGTGAGATAAAACGCCACAATTACCTTTTTTTATTTTTTATTCTGTGGTGGAAGTTAAAAACGAAATTGTGATAAAAAGTCACAATTACTTTAAACAAAAAAAAATTTATTCTGTCGCCAAAAAAAAAAAAAAAATTGGGAGATGTAAAATCAAAATTACGAGAATTTTTTTTTTCGACCATCAGAATGCACAGAAAATTGAGATTTTTTTAGTTTATTTCTTGCAATTCGGAGTTTATATCTTTAGTTCTGTGTTTTTTGTTCTCAGACATGGAAGTTTATATCCGAATTGCGAGATAAAAATTCGCAATTACCTTTTTTATTTTTTTTTATTCTGTGGCCAAAAAAAAAAAAAAAAGAATTGCACGATGTAAAATCGAAATTCTAAGAAAAAAAGTCTGAATTGCATGATGTAAACTTATAGAAAACTAAGAATTGCGAGATATAAATTAGCAATTTTTCACACAATTCTAAGTTTACATCGTGCAATTCTTTTTTTTTTTTTTTTGGCCACAGAATAAAAAAAATAAAAAAGGTAATTGCGAATTTATATCTCGCAATTCTTAGTTTTCTATATTAAGAATATTAAGAGTATATATTAAACTCAGAATTGCAACTTGCAACAAAACTCGCAATTCTGAGGAAAAAAAATCAGAATTGTGAGTTTACGTCTCGCAATTCTGAGTTTATATCTCACAATTATGACTTTTTTCTCAGAAATCCGAGTTTATATTTGAATTGTGAGATAGAAGGTTGCAATTAGCTTTTTATTATATATAAATATATATATATATATGCCATTGCGAAAACGGCCTTCCATACAAATCCATGTGACTTTCTCTGTAAAACACAGCAATGAATGTCTGAGCTGCTCTTTTACATTTACTGCAGTGTCTCATGAGGGAAAAAATATTCTATTTTACTTTATTTCATTTTTGCGTTCTATTCCTTTAAATCCGAGGCGCGCTTGACGTTAAGCGCTGGTTTGGGACGTTGCTAGGGAACCGCGTGCGTGCGCGACCGTGTTTTCGTACTAGTAAATATATTTTCTGATTTCGTTCATTTTGGTGCGTATTAATTTGATATATAAGAAAGAATCTCAATATGTATAGTTTTAAAGTATTGATCAACAATCTATTTATGAACCAGAATACAGTGTATATTAACCTGCGAAGCTAACAGTGAAGATTAACCAATATTTGTGATACTAGTCGTGCGGGAGAGTTTAGTTTGCGCCACCTGCTGGTCAGAGATGGGAGCTGTGCGGCTGACTCGGCTACTGAAGATACTAAAGTGCTATTGATCAACGCGGTTTGATTATTTGGTCACTGATCGATTGACGTGCTCACCGGAAACATCAGAGTATTCGAAAGGGAATGTTGATGCGATGTGATTGGACGAGCGGACGGTGACGTCACAACGGGACGAATTTTTAACCCTTTGGTTGTATAGAGAGAGTTTGGAAAGATCGTGTTAATAAATGCTATACTCCTCTTGTACATATTTTATTATTGATATTACAGTTTATTCTTGATTTCTTGTTGTATTTTCCTTTTTTCCCCTCAGATGGACATTTATCAATATAATACAATAATAAAAGAATATGTTGTATTTCACATGTGTTTGGTTTTTGTGTTTGAGAGTTTTTCCGTTTACAGGTTCCTGCACTCGTGGAAAACTCCGGCATTTCGGTAGATACTGCATATAATATTTTTTTTTCTTCATGCACATTTGTGAGTGTAAAATGCGTGTAAATGATTTTAATGCTTTAATAAGTGAGTTTTTAATCTATACTATGATTTGTGATGCTGTATATTAATTTTATGAATTATAGTGTTGAAATTGATTGATCTATTTATTAGATAAAGATGAGATCACAGTCCATACTAGCAGAAGCACTGCTTCGTGAAGCTTCGAATCCTTTGCGATTTATTTGACTCATGCGAATCAAACCGCCAAAGTCACGTGATTTCACGATTATTATTTTTTTTTACTTGATTTCGGATCGTTTTTATAAATTTATAGACATTTTAATGAGACATCTGTGTAATTAAATGGAATAGTAGTAATTAATAGTTTCTTATTGGCCCGTTGAGCTCAACAAACAAAACAAGCCCTGCAAATTAATAAAAGAACACGTATTATACAGACACTTCTTATTTAATAGTATTAGATGATTGGTTACTTGCATTTAATATACTATTCTCTCGATAAAACATGCAATTGGTTCGTAAAAGGTGTTTTTATGCACGTCTGGCTTGAGTTTTTTGTTGCAATTACAAAGTTTTGACCAGCAGGTGTCGCTTCGAATCAGTTAATCATTTTGCAAAGCAATTTGTTCAATTGACTCAAAGCTTCGAACAGGTTCGGTTCGCCCATCACTAGTCCATTCTGAGATCCACATTTGTTGCAGTAGTTCAGTTCAGCCACCAGATGGTGCTGCAGGGTCAATTTAAAACATGATTAAATGATGTTATACATGTTTGGAACTGCAAGATGTGTACCTAATGCTGAAAATTCAGCAGCTATTCACATAGAGGACAGCTGTTTTAAATTAAAATAATATTTCACAATTTTACTGTATTTATGATCTAATAAATGCAGCCTTGATAAGCAGAAGCGGCTTCTTTCCAAAACATTAGAAAAACTGCTGCCAAATGGTTTTGTATATGAAATGACAGTCACTTGTTATTTCATGAGTGACACTTGTTGCTGTAGTTTTTTAGGTTCATAGCTGTAACATGTTGCCGTTTCCTCTAACAGTGACTGAATCCATCCTGATGAATCCATTCTGACACATTCAGTCTGTAATGAGACTCCTCGCATTCAGTGTTCAGAGGTTTTCTGACATCAGTGCATGACACACGACCTGCAGTTTAACTGACAATACACTGAACAGAATCTTTCATAAAGACTGAAGGACTAATGAACGTGATCTGTATGCTGAGGATATTTATAGGGACGGTGCGCAAAAAAAAATTATAATACTGCTGTGTGTGTGAGAGAGAGAGAGAGAGTGTGTGTGTGTGTGTGTGTGTGTGTGTGTGTGTGTGTGTGTGTGTGTG